CAACAATCTTTACTTCTTTCTGTAGGGGGTACCTGCGGAATCAGAGTCTTCCAAGATGGTTGGAAGTAGAGAATCAAAGAACAGATACTTTGATTTTGAAAAACTAGCAGAGGTTTGTTTAGTTAGAATGTAGATCTCTAAATTTAACTTGTTGCACATAGTGACAAGCATGCTGATGTACATTTGTTTCTAGAAACTCACTTACACTAGATATATTTAAGATAGCACAGTATAATTAGCACAGTATCTTTTTATCTTTTAAGAAATCCGAATTATTCTATCCGGGAGACTTTGGTTTCTTATAAACTTTTGTTGCTGTCTTAGGTTACAGCGACGATCACTGCAAATCTTAATAAAATCATAGATGTTAATTACTATCCCGTTGAAACTGCAAGGAGGTCAAATTTAAGACACAGACCAATTGGTATTGGTGTTCAAGGTCTTGCTGATACCTTCATTTTGCTTGGCATGCCATTTGATTCACCAGAGGTATTAATTTGCTTCTCTTAAATATGATATGGTTTCATTTGCATTGTTCATCCAGACTGATTTTTTCACTTGTTTGTAACAGGCAAAGAGGCTAAACAAAGACATATTTGAAACCATATACTACCATGCTCTGAGATCTTCTTCTGAGCTGGCTGCTAAAGATGGCCCTTATGAAACATATTGTGGAAGCCCTGTAAGCAAGGTAAGGGTCTCTGACTTTATCAGTTTCGGTGAATGTATTCCAGAGACGTTTAAGATGGCGTGCCTTGGTGTCTGATTTTCAACTAGATGACCTCTGCTATCTTGTTTCTTTGGTTCATGCCTTGGCTTTATAGGATGGTGCAAATGTTAGATTTAATGTTCAGAAGAATTTGAGAGATGTTTCAAAAGGGATAACACGGTGAGCTTGGTCTAGGAAGTAGTCTCATTCTTATATTGTTAATGCATGAGAAATACATAGAGAAGGGTGATCTTTTTGCTCCTTTTTCTTCCTCAAAATGACTCATCATGCAAAGAAATCACCCAAGATATGGCATTTTGCCTATGTCATATTCTTTTGGATGCCTTGTTACATGCCCTCGAGAAGACATGAAATATAAGATTGCTAGAACTTGAGCAAAATTTCTTTTCTTTCAGGGGATTTTGCAGATGGACATGTGGGGTGTGACACCATCAGATAGGTGGGATTGGGATGTTCTTAGGGAAATGATCTCCAAAAGTGGTGTAAGAAATTCCCTTCTCATAGCACCTATGCCCACTGCTTCAACAAGTCAGATACTTGGCAACAATGAATGTTTTGAGCCTTATACATCCAATATCTATAGCCGCAGAGTTTTAAGGTTTGTTTTGCTTTACCAGGCTGATTTCTGTGAAGTGTGGTTCTTCTTCCCTCTGCCATCTAACCACTTTCATTTTCAGCGGTGAATTTGTTGTGATGAACAAACACCTTCTTCATGATTTAACGGAGATGGGTCTCTGGTCACCTGTTCTTAAAAACAAGATAATAAATGAAAATGGCTCGGTTTCAAAAATCCCTGAGATTCCCGATCAGCTAAAAGCTATCTATAAGTACGGTTATCTTCATCTTGTCTATATTCTATATTTAGTAGCATATTTGTATCTTTTCATGCCAAGGCAGAATTACTGTGTGATACCAGGACGGTGTGGGAAATCAAGCAAAAGACACTGGTTGACATGGCTGCTGATCGTGGATGCTACATAGACCAAAGTCAGAGTCTGAATATTCACATGGAGCAACCTGATCTTGGGAAACTAACTTCCCTGCATTTCCATGCTTGGTCAAAGGTATGATGCTTATATTTATTCATTTGCAGTATGAATACACTGCATGCTCATTACAGTGCACCACTCCTGATCAATTTTGCACTTCATGTTGCTACCAAGGCTGCGTAACCTGTCACTGGGAAAAGAAAACAGTATAGCACGTAGCCTACTCCATGGCTTTGTTGACAGGACATGATTAGAGCTCATGTGGCTAGTTTAACATATTTTTCTCTATGCTATGATTGTTCAAAGTGCGTTTTGGGTGTATCCATTGATATGTTTATTATCGGTTTCGTCATGTTTTCTGTACAGGGCCTGAAAACAGGTATGTACTACCTGAGAACACGTGCTGCTGCAGATGCTATCAAATTCACTGTTAACACAACTGTTCTCAACAATGTATGTGAATTTCTCTTCCTTATATCATTAGATCATGTTCAAATGTTCCATAAATCTTTTTCATTTATAGCTCTTAGTGTTGAAGGTACAAAATCCATTTTGAGAATGGAGACCAAGAGAGTGTTTGGGGAACACAGTGCATCCTTCAAAATTTGAATTTTCTTTTTGTTTAAAATGAATTTTCTTTTTATATTTTCATATTGTTTTGATGTATAGATGTAAAAAATAAATTTTAAAAAATAATTTTATTTTATTTTGATGTATTTTTAAATAAAAAATATTTTGAACCGCTATCATTATTATAATTCTAAAAATACCCTAAAGCAAATATGGAAAGAAGTAGAAATTCAAACATGGTTTCACTACTAACCATTTATTTTTTAAGCGCGCATCTATATATATATATATATATGTATATATTCAATCTTTCCATTTTAGACTATGATTTGCAGTTTTACCTAAATAGATTGGATTTTCCGTAAAAGCAAATATTTTTACGTGATTGTTGACAGAATTTGTTGTTTTGTGATGGAACAGGAAAATGCTAACAAGGCAGAGGATGATGCTAGTTCTGACATGAAGCAGGCAGCATGCTCATTGCAGAACCGGGAAGAGTGCATGGCTTGTGGAAGTTAACCTCCGTGTTCCCTCTCATTTGAACAATAGAGTTCTTCAACGACAAGCAAGAGCAACGAAGCTCATTTCTTTGCATCGCTAACCTGCAAGTTGGAATGAATAGCTATGTAACAGTCTACAAGTGATGTGCAGAGTGTAGATCAAACCCATCATGAAACTGACTCTTTGATTGGATGTGTAATGTTATGGCCCCAGCTTTTTACTGGCCCTTGCAATCAAATTCTTATCAGACCTGAGTCTTCTGTTAGGGCTCAGAACTGGATACAGCTATGTGTAAAAAGGCGTGTTCTTGTTTGATCGCATTTCAGTAAAGCAGGCCTCGCTCTCTCATGCACCATGATGATGATGATGACTGGCCATTGATGGGCCTTGGATTATTTCTAGATAACTGGGCCGCTTAAGCGAACTAGTAGATAGTGCTTTTTTAAGTAGGTCGGCTGCTGGGCTTTCTGGAAGAGGGCCGGGCACCTAGCCTTACTCTTCCCATATTTTTTTTTGTTAATTTTTTATTTTTTGCAAAAACTTCCATCAACAATTCTCTGGGTGATTTTAACCGGATACTGGTTGTGGCTCAGCGCTGGATGCCCCTGTATATTTTTATGTTTTAAAAATATTTTTAAAAAATAAATTTTATTTTATTTTTATGTTTTAGATTATTTTGATGCCTTAATATTAAACATAATTTTTAAAAAATAAAAAAATATCTTTTAATATATTTTTAATGACTTTTCATGGCATGTGGAAGTGGTATACTTTTAAACACGTTAAAAAAATAAATAGACACGTGAGGCAGCCTGGCTGCGCAATTTGCTTGACTGCCTCGAGACAGTCTTGGGCATTTCTATGGAAGGAATCTCGAATCATCTTTATTGCCTATTAATGACTTTTCATGGCATGTGGAAGTGGTAATAGGCTAATAGCACGAGGATGCCATCAGATTTGAAAATTTCTGTCGAGGAAACCTGAGTTTCAGATTCAATTAAAAAAATGTAACATTTCAGTACTACTGGTCATTGATTTTTATTGGACTGCGGGCCGCGGAGCAGCATGAATCAGACAGATAGCACAAAAAAGTTGATGTTAAGCTAAAAGGGCAAGAAAAAAGCTGGAGGCGCTCTATACTTTTCAAGAAGAAGAGAGTGACCTTTTCTATTCCAAGCCATGAGGGATCTCTTAATGTTCTCTTCCCATGCTCCTAGTTATAACCTAGTTCACATGGCACGCACCTGCTTTATTAAGGCGATACTCTTATTCTGTATATTTATATTTATATTTATATCGCTAAGAGCAAAGAAATGCTAGAAGAAACGTCCTCCGTCGTGCCTCTCCCGTTCGTGAAAAATTAATTATTTTTCTTCTTTATCATGTCGGTCCAAATGCTTGCATGTGTTTGAACGGAATCAGATTGTGCGGAGAGATTGCTTCCATCTGTCCCTGACTTGTACCACATGCTGAAAATTGGAAGTATACGTACCCTCGGGCTTGGTACTATCTTGAATTTCTGAAATCAAATTGTTTTTTTATTATTTTTTTCAATGACTGACTTTGGTTCATCAAAAACACACATTGGAGTTTCTTGGATTTTCAATGACAATCTTCAAACGTTTAGGGCACCTGTTTGGGCAATCCAAGACCATTTCTTATGAGAGTCTTTTTCATGGAAAGTTTTTCTTTTTTAAAAAAATTACTTTTCTAATTTTTTTATATTTGTCTTTTATTCAAAAAATTTTGATAAAAAATAATTTTCAATTAAAAACATTAGTTTAGTTTTAAGGGAAGAGTTTTTTTTTTGAAAAACACTTTCTATAAATCATCTAAAATTAAAAAATATCTTATTATTTGTTGATGATATCAAATTTAATCTTTTTGGTTGTTTCATATTTTATTTTGAATTTTTTTCTTTAATTTTATCTCTAGAACTTGATTAAAATTTAATTTTTATATAATTTTAGTCCTTATTCTTTTGATTATTATTTAGTTTTTTTTTTATTTTCTCAATTAATTTTTTTATTTATCTTGTCTAATCCCTGTTCTTTTGATTATATTTATTTTATTTAAAATAATTTATAAAATTAGATTTTTTTTAAATTTTATTCTTTTTCAACCTTTCATGAAAGTAGATTTGGTTCTCCTTTTTTTTAATAAATTTTAAAAAA